GTAAGGCCAGGAGCCCCTAGTAGCGTCCTTGTTCCTAGTAGTAAGGCTAGGAGCCCCTAGTAGCGTCCTTGTTCCTAGTAGTAAGGCCAGGAGCCCCTAGTAGCGTCCTTGTTCCTAGTAGTAAGGCCAGGAGCCCCTAGTAGCGTCCTTGTTCCTAGTAGTAAGGCCAGGAGCCCCTAGTAGCGTCCTTGTTCCTAGCAGGAAGGCCAGGAGCCCCTAGTAGCGTCCTTGTTCCTAGTAGTAAGGCCAGGAGCCCCTAGTACGTCCTTGTTCCTAGTAGTATGGCCAGGAGCCCCTAGTGGCGTCCTTGTTCCTAGTAGTATGGCCAGGAGACCCTAGTAGCGTCCTTGTTCCTAGTAGTAAGGCCAGGAGCCCCTGCAGCGTCCTTGTTCCTAGTAGTAAGGCCAGGTAGCGTCCTTGTTCCTAGTAGTAGGGCCAGGAGCCCCTAGTAGCGTCTTTCCTAGTAGTAAGTCCAGGAGCCCCTAGTAGCGTCTTTGCTCCTAGTAGAAAGGCCAGGAGCCCCTAGTAGCGTCTTTGCTCCTAGTAGTAAGGCCAGGAGCCCCTAGTAGCGTCTTTGCTACTAGTAGCGATGCCAGGAGCCCCTAGTAGCTTCTTGTTCGTCTAGAGGTTCCGATGTGGCTCTGATTGAAGGCCCCCCCGCTCTCTTGCAAAGCAAGCAGGCTTGCTGAATTCCACCCAGCTATGCACGTGACGATTTTTTTTATGAACAGCCCACCTAGGACGGTGTCACGACAGGACCACGCAGGGAGCACCTTTTCTTCTGGACTTCTAGAGTCGTCATGAAGTTGCCACACTTGGGCTTCTTGCATTGAATGAGACAGGTGAGGTATGCTGAAGCTATGCGGATGACAAGTCAGGCTTAGAACTCTTCAATCTGCCGGACTTGTCCCACCTTTCCAACCTCCTCTTCAGACGATGAGCTTTCCTCTTGCTCTTCCTGAAGGGCCAGTTGCTTGCGCTGTTCCAACTTTTTTGCATCCTCTTCCGCTTGCGCCTTGTTAAACGCCATTACGCTCTCATAGCTGAGTCCCCTTCCTGAATTGATCCCATCTCCGCAACATTCCTCGTCTTCCTCATGACCCCAACGATCCTCCTTCTCATGCCAAGCACCCATGTGGCGCTCGTCAAATCTGATATAGACCTCCTTCCCGACATGCCGCCAGCAGGCTCCGTCTGAAGGAAAAAAGATCTGGCATATTTTACAGACCCATCCAAAAGGTGGCTGCCTTTTGCACGTCGTGAACAAGAAGCGTTCCCATATTCTTATCTCCTTCTTGAAGTCTTCCTCATGGTCTTTTCCAATGTGCTCTTCACAAGCTCTTGCACTCGGCAAGGTTTTGTAGCAGAGCTTGCAGCGGACCGTGTCCTTCTTCACTTCGAGGACGTTTCGCTTGCAAAAGCGTAGCGTCTGCGCCTGCACGATACGCTTGTCCACTTCCCGGTCCATTTCCGTTGCATCATCATCTGTGGGCTTCTGTCCTGTCGCGCCAAACACAAAGGTTGCCAAAAGCAAACACAAGTGAGACCGTTGGGCCGTTACACACTCGCCACTAGCCGTTCAATGAGGGTTGCTCATACTTATACAGTAAAGTCAAGTGGTCCTTCCCACGGAGGAGCTGTAAAGATCTCAGCCTGCATCAGTCCGTCATACTCCGGCGTCTCACATGGTGGCGGGGGAGGCTTCTCTTTCTTTGCCCAGCCTCCAAAGCTGGCATCCTGCAGGGACAACTCCTCTTAGTGTGCACTGGAACGACATACACTGACAAACCTGAGATTCAACCTCTAAAGCTGGAACTTTGAGCTTCAAACCCTTGTTGCCAAGGTCCACCTCATCCAGAGGCCTCTTGCCCAGCACACGATCGCGGGCAAAGGCCCGCTGACGGGCCAGGGCTGCTAATTCCTCCTTCGAGGGGCCATTCTGGAATAGCCGCGGCATCTTCTCCTTCCTCAGCTCAACAGAATTTTGGGAGCTATGGCTATGACTGTGGTGGAAACTGTAACTTCATCTTGACACTTCATCATCAAAGAAAATCACCAAGGACCAAGGCTCTTAAAGGTCTGAACTTCTCTGGGGTGCACCTTCTTGAAGTGATCTGCTGCTCCCACCTCCCACAGTGACAGACAAAATCCCGAGGGGTCCCGAATCAAAAAACGAGTGCTTTCCGCATTCGCACTTGGGGCCTTTGAGGTTAAGAGCGCGTTGCACAACTTGCATTTGAAGCGGATCCCTTTGGTTTGAAGATTCTTGGCCATGAATCTCCTTAGGTCCGCTGTCTGCTTGGGTTTGGTGCTTAACACCTCAAAAACAAGAAGCTTATTATTCAAGCTGAGCTACAAAAGCAGCATTGAGCAGTCTGTGCATTCACAGAATGAGTCATGCTGCTCGCTTTCCATGTCCTGCATGCTTGGCATCAATTGACAAACGATGCAGCATGGGTCTGGGCCCAACCCCTGTGACCCAATGTCCTGTGGTTCCAGCTGCTCGTCCAGCTTACAGAGTGCATCGCTGGGATCCGAAACAACCTGGAAGCAGCCTATTCTGTTTCAGCAACCTGTTTTGGCATATTGGCTCCTGTTTCTACATGGTCCCTTGCTCCCTTTACCTGCGATTGTATCAGCCAAAACGACAAGCCGCGAGGAGGCACACCTCCTACGCAACACACAGGGGCGGATGCACTTGGTTCTTGATTTGGATGTTGCAGGTTGAAAGCTTGTGCAACCTTGAGACACAAATAGTTTCTCTTACCAGCAGTACACACATGTTTCGATTGTGCTGCTGCAACTGCAGCGCGACAATTTCCAACACCAATTGAGCCAACCATGAGAGGGGCGCTAGAGGTGCAAACCCTCATTCTGGACCAAATCAGGCATGCCTCAGACCCTTTTGTAGAACATGATGGCAAAAGAAGGGAGGGAACGAATGTGATAATCGCCAGAATGAGACTAAAGTTCATACAAACATGTGCGTGCTCAAATGAATTTGTGCATTGATGGTGAACAGTGAACATGTTGGTTCATGAAATTGCTTGAGCTAGCTCCTTCAGCCACTTGCAAGTTTTAACTAGAGCTAGGGCCGAGGGAGCAAGGGACAGTCTTAGCATTTTGAGGAAACATCTGTAACACTGTAGGACTGGAAAGTACACGAGGATTTCAGCAACTGACCAGGCACCAGTTCAGCAGGCTTCGGGGCAGGCGGAACCTCTTTCCGCTTCAGCTCCGATGGTGATGGAGCCTCGTCATCGTCGCTATCATAGGATCCAATCAGGAGATTCATCGCGTCAATGCAGGCATGCGTCCAGCACAAGTTTGGCTGAGAAACAAGTTGTCCTATTGTGCTGGTGCTGTCTTGAGTGATGCCTCATGGAAAATTATCATGCCTGCGTGGATCTGTTGCAGCAACATTCTGAGCCAGAAGTTCACTTGAATAATCCCAATCCACAACAGAAATATGTCATCCTCCGCAAGTGCATCAGCTCGGGAACACTCTCATCACTGTGCACACAAAACACAACGCCTGGAGCACAGAATGAGAAACCCGGGTACCCTCGAAGGAGATGCCATGATCACCACGAAATCTGACCTGGTCCAGCTCAGCACAACACACAATATCAACGGAAACTCGTCAAACATCAGTTACCACCAGAAAGACCCCGACAGTCACGAGGCCCGTCTTGGGTTTTGGTCCAGGTTGAGAGCTCCTTGCAACGGATTTTCTTGTGACACTTCAACGATCTGCTCAACAGCAGGGTGTGGAACGTCAATGTCCAAGCCATCTGCTAAGCAGATGTCATGGTGCGCCTCACTTCAGTTTGGCTAGCAGAACGAACAAGCTCACCTTCGCTCGCACCTCAGGCTGGAGCAAATCAGCTTGTGACATTATCTCTATACTGTTTATTACTTATTACTGTTTATGTCCACATCAATGGGATCATCCCATCCATCTCTTTTGGCTCTCGTGAGGAACGGCGCCATAAAGGTCATGGCTTGCGGATGTTGAAATGTGCTAAACTGTCAAACCCAGGTTCACGGTGGCGAGCCTGGCTTCTGGACTGTTGTTGCAGAGGCTGATGTTGAGAGAGCTGGCAGCCGCACTTGCTCAGGGGATGGCCTCAAAATCCCACCACTCCAACACACCAAGAACCATAACTGTGGGTGTGGTAGATTGTTGACACCAGTTTAGTCAGCCAGGGCACTGCCACAATGCATCGTTCTGTTGGTGAAGGTTTTTGACCAATGTGAGTCGGGGGGTGAGAGGTTCTATGAAAAAGCAAAAACGAGCGCAAAGGAATCAAACACAAAAACAAAAGGGAAACGTATGAGGCAGGCTAACGTATTAGCCCGAATCATCCAAATGCAAAGAGAGTATCCTGGCTGCGTCTTGTCTAAAAGCATTGCAATGGACATACTCAGCAAATTCTGACAAATTCTGGGCATTCCTGTGTCCACACTCTGGGCAAGACAGCTGAGCAATGTACGCCATTCTCGCAACCCCGCAGACTATGCCCACATTGAGAGAAAATGCCATAGTATATAATGCTTTTGGGATGTCCAACTTCAACTTCAATTCAACCTGTAAAGAACGACACACCGTGTGGATTCAAGCACGTGCAGTGTTATTTTGATCGCACGTCTCGCGACCATTTCAATGACACACTTCAATGACCATTGGGGTGACTGTCCAGCTGCGTCTCTTTGGACACCGAGGCTGTTTCGCCCAGCTCGTGCGTCACTAATCCTTGTCTATATCAACCATCTCGATGTGAAACAAAATCTTTTCATCAAAGCTGATCTCTGGCGGTCGTACCTTCGTGCACTTGGACCAGTGCTTTGCAGCTGAGCAAAAGGGGTTCATTCGATGCATGTTACAAAGCAGAACCCCCAACACTCCGGAAACAAAATGTTAGCAAAAAACGTGCCTTCTTGTCGTACCCTAGCTTCGGAGGAATTGTCGCCTGGTCTTCGTACGAGCTCAAGACTTCTTAAGGTCACTTGGACATATTCTCTCCTTGTCTTTCCGGCGTGAAGTCAGGTTTTATTCTTTTTACTTTGGTTCTGCACCTTCCTCTTTTCACCAGTACACATTCCCATCCTCAGTTTCTGTTCAATTCTTTGTCACACACATGTCCAAGCATTGCATAAGTAAGCTGCTCACACTGCGCTTTGAAAGCCTTTCATGCATTCTGGTTTGGACTGTTGGCCGCACTTGCCCAGCTTGAAAACATACCTGCAACTGCTACAACTCATCCCACTTGATGACTTTCCTTCAATGCTCTTCCTGCATGCTTGGTCAAAGGCACGGTTCACCGCCTTTTGTGCTCTCAAATTGCTGGCCAGCACTTTTCAAGAAACCTCGATCGCTGGAATATGAATCGGAGCTTCCTTTCGATCGGATTCATTCATGCAAGCAGTGTTTCTTGTTGCAGCCAGCTGCTTGTGTAGTGGACATGGACCAAGTCACCATCACCTTCCCGGCATCTGCAACCCAACCCAAGCACTCCAAATCCGCTTGACAGAAAGCCACCCCTCCTGAGGGAATTCTACTACTAGTACTACTCCTACTCCTAATCCTACTCCTACTCCTACTACTACTACTACTACCACTGCTACTACTTCTGCTACTGCTACTACTACAGTATATAATACCCGCCATCTGTAAATGGTCTTGTGCGGCTGAAGACATCGCAACTGTGTAGAAAGCAGTTTTGGGCCATTCAGTAGCTGCAGGCCAACAAACAACTGCGTGAGGGAACTGACAGAAAGTGTCCGCCAATGCGGGAGAATGGTAGAACAAAGGACCAGGATGAGATTACATGAAGAAAAATAGAAGGAACTAGAACCATTTTCAAGAGTAAGCCGTTTGTCTTCCACTTCTTTGGGTCGGTAAGCTCTTACTGTGGTAGACGGTAAAAGCGGTATCTTGGAAAGGCTCACAAGCTCACGTGCGATGTCGGTAATAGGAATAGACAACAACGTAGTGCTTGGTTTGGTTTTGCTTCACTTGAGAGTGAAGCAACGGCGATACAAGTTGGATATGTAAATTTGGATATGTGAGGTAGCTTCTTTGGGTTGCAGAGAGTGCAAGCCTGCCTTCCTTGCTTGCTAGTTTTCTTGTTGAGCGCAAGGAAGGGAAAGCAGAAAAACTGTGGGAGCTTTGCTTCGAAGTGTCTCCTTCAAAACCTGTAGGTGCGGTGTGACAAGCATCCAACATGAACAGCCACAGTGAGTCGTCTTGAACACCAGCCCTACGCAAGTAATGCCAAAAGCTAGCAGAGTCAACATATTACTATTGAAAGGCTTCTGAGTTTCTGTTCAAAACCAAATAAAGAGGTGTAGACGGTGTAGATCAAGAAAGCTGGACACCATCGCGAACAGTGTAAATTATATCTAGACCTGCCTGATTCTACACAGAAAACTGAATTTGGACAGGGCACTTGCTTTGAGTTCGCATTCTGATGGCTTGTGCACAACCTTCATTGCAAGATCCTGGCGAATTGCATAGAAGCCGACACAAACCGTGCTGAAACATATCAGATGTGGATGTGGCCTCGAGAAGCTTGACTCGCTTCTGCGACGGTTTATACTCAACAACCTGAGTTGCTCTTGGACGTGAGGCAATTGGTTATATAATCTCTTGAACAGTTTCCATTTCAGCTATGCAGCTATCCTGATTAATGATTGTGTTCAAAAACTATGAAATCCCTTTGTTCAATCCCAGGCACATAGTAGAGGTAAAGTGTGGCCAGAACCATCGATATCGGAACACTGCCAGGGTCTAACTGTGATTAAAAGTGAAACGGTCTCATGAACGATGCCCGAGGCAACTCCTTCGAAAGAAGTCACAGATTCATTGCAACCGCAGGTTGTAAAGGCATGAAGCGGCACACTTAAATGATTATAACTCCCACCTCGCGAAGTAGAACTTCAACGGCATGGTGGCCAGCTACCACTTGATCTGAAGCATAAAGCGTAAGCTTTGGAAGACGAGTACTTGTGCGTCTTGTAACAGTGGCCATATTATATCTTCTGATCAATCACTGTGTCTCAAAACCTAAGCTCCGTCTGCACATGGGGGCCAATCAATGTCACCACCTTTCATGCAATTAACTTTGTGGCTCCTACAAATTGCTGTATGTCTGACAATGTTTGCGCATTTGCTCTTGTCACTTGTATACTTCTGCGGTCCTGCGTTTCCATGTTATTTACAATTTACAACTCTCCTGAACCAGAGTCATGTACAAAGGAGCACACTGAAATTCATGTCAGTGAAAAGGGCTGTTTGTGGGCACCCATCGTCGACGCAACAACACCAGCAGTGAAGCGGGCAACCTGAAACGCTCTTCTTTTCAGCAACTAGTCCTTGTGCTTTAATTCCATCTTCGGCACTGCCAGGGGCCATTCATCATCCCTTAGGGACAAGTCAGATTCCAAAGACAAGCGTGTGTATAGACTTCATGCGCAGGTGGAGAGAGGTGCACAGCGTACAGAAAGAGTATCTGTTTTCCCCTTTGGTGTATATAACAAAAATGCTAGGACGAGGAAAAAACAAACAAAAAACAGATTGTTTGGCATTCTCTTTTGTATTTTCCAATGGGTTTAGACCGCCTATTTCATGCTCGTTAAAGGCTCGGCGATGATGTTCAGATCTGAAAGAAACACCTGGTCCACTAGTCAAACGCACAGTAGAGGGATACTTACCCAACTTGCAGGTCCTTGAATCACTGCAGACTGCAAACAGGGAAGGGAGGCCGTGCAGTTTGCCTTCGGTATTTACTTCTGATGCTGAAGCCAAGTGCTCCTTCATCAGATGTCTTGTTTGTGGCACGTTGTAGGTGCCAACTTCCAAGCTCAAGGAATCACAGTCTGCCGCAGGCAAACCATAAAAAGGCAGGCTCAAATTTGGATGTGTAGGGACATCCTGCCCCTGCCACTCTTGGGCTACCTATGGCGAGCTAGGCAAAGCCCCGCTGGACGGCCTTAGAACGTCTTGTTTGCTACATCTCGTGTAGTAGCTCTCTCAAGCTATCAATCTCATTCTCGCAATTGTGTGGAAAAGAGCTGAGCATCCAACCCACTGCTCTCACACGTGGCGGCCTCTACTATGTGTGCATATGTGTCGATAAGCGCACAAAGAGGTGTGTGTGTGTGTGTGTGTCTGTATGTATGTATGTATGTATGCATGGATGCATGCATGCATGCATGCATGCATGCATGGATGGATGGATGGATGGATGGATGGATGTGCATACGTCCATCCGTCCGTCCGTCCGTCGGTCGGTCCGTAGGTAGGTAGGTAGGTAGGTAGGTAGGTAGGTAAGTAGGTAGGTAGGTAGGTAGGGAGGCAGGCAGGCAGGCAGGCAGGCAGGTAGGTAGGTAGGTAGGTGTGTCAACACAACGTGCCACTAGCCTAGTTCGGCAGAATACTCCAGCAAGCCCAAAGCTCCAACTCAAGAGGTGTGTGCAAATGACCAATCTACTTGCATGCAGGGCACAGGTCCAAGTGTTGGTCCTGAATTGGAGGATTCAATCTTCCGCGCTGAGGCCTGTGGTTTCTTCAGTCCTGCATTTTCAATAAGCTTTGCCGAATTGCCAACATTGGATTGCTGGCAAGGCTGACGCCAAATTTTCTGACAAGCTGGTCCTGCTGAAGTGAGTGTCATGACAGGCCTTTCAATCAAACACCACAAAGCAATTGCAGAGGAGAATGCCATGAAGCAATTTCCTGGGATGAGCAGTGCACGCTCAAGCACGACAAAGGTGACCAGATCTAGTCGAAATGTGTGAGCTTCCTGGAGCACATGATGCTACCAAGTTGCCTACAAAACGGTAGCACACTTCCTTGCAGTTGCAGTTATATAGGCTAGTCCAAAAAATGGTCAAGACTCTTCAACATGTCGCGAGAGTTTCATGCAATGTTTTCTTTCTCGTTACGTCGCTGGGGCCATCGCCATGCCACTAAAAGTGTAATACTGCACCGAAGTCCCTGCTGCCAATTTGATGACCTCATTGTTGCATAGCCATGACGTCTCCATGTTCCAAATCCAACAGTGGAAACACTGTAGGAGAGAAAAATGACGATCCAAGCAGCAAGGGGATGCAGCAGGTAGGCACCATAGGTCAGCCGAGCAAGGGGTGTCCATGCCGGGTGTGCCAAAAAAGAATTCGTCCAAGGCAAACAGCCTCAGCTCTCGGCAAAGGGGAGCTGCAAAGCGAAGCTTCTGGCTCTCGTAGCTTTGCAGTTGCTGCTTGCCATTCAAGGAACCATAATAGCAAAGAATTGTTATCGCAGCCCAGGACAAAGCCCATGCAACTCTCCCAAAATCAAGGAGCAGAATACTCTCAAAGTCGTTCCAGCCTGCATGCTCTAGCAGCTAGCAGCAGAAACAACCGACCGTCTACGGCCAAAGGGTCTCTCACACAGAATGAACACGTCAGGATTCTCTTGAGCACAAACCATCTTTCATGCAGCCATGCTGCTGTTCTTAGATGCACCGAAATCCGTGGCTGGAATAAAAACAACCAAGCACAATACAGCTGCTGACAGGATGGCAACCTTGGAGGGAGCTGCTGGAGGAAATCCTACGCCTGCTCAAGGCTACCACTTACTGCAAAGGGAAACAAATTGCCGACTCGAGCTTTCACAGAACAAAGACCCAACTCTTCAAAGTTTTGCAACGTTTGTTCAACATGTAGAAAGTGAAGAAAAAAAATATATAGAGACTAGAGGTTTGTTTTCCAAAGAGTCGATATAAGTTTAAGCCGTCAAGCTACAGCTGTGGCTGCAAGTGGGTGACGACGATGTGGCTGGCTCTCCCGTGTCAAACCCTTCTCTTCCAAGGTTCCCAGCAACCAGGCAGCGGATCTTAGTTGTGTGCCCCGGTTAGTGCCAGTCTGAAAATATGTCGAAAGACTGTTTCTACGTTTAGTTCAATTTTAAATTCAAGCAGCATTCCAACAAAGTACGCTGGAGCCCTTGTGTAGGGCTTGCTGTAGGCATAATATGAATACCTGCAAAGCAACCATTTCGCTTTCAAAGCGCGCTGGCTGGACACGGAACCGGAAAAGAACACGGTGCCAATGCAACTTAAGTCCTAAAACAAAGTCCCAAAGCAGCAAGCAAGCGAGCGCAATCACTCAAGAGTAACAATAGCACTATATAAATCAAAATAAAACTTAAATGTCCATGTACAACAAGCGAGCACGCTGCAGTGCCAACACAACCACCACAACCGCCCAAAAAAACAATATCAAGGTCCCACAGGCCCCACCCACTGTAACAGCGCGCACTTTGTTAATAAAACCATTGTCGGTCTACCGGTGGTCTCCAGAATGAAATCCAGACGGTACACTTATGATGCGGCAAAACCGACAGGAATGTACTGAGAACATGACTGGCTGTTCATGCATAGTAATGTCAGTGGTGACAAACAATGTTGTGAAACATACACGCCCCCACCCACGCACTCGGGAAATGCGCACTGAACATGACAATCTTCATGAACATGAACCCCAACGATCTCAAAGTTCCTCAAAAATGAAAACCGAGGGACGAATGCACCTGCGCAAACCTGAATCATCCTGCAGCAGCCTGGTGCCTTCTAAAATCGGAGAGTGGTTAGAACATTCACAAACTGCGGGTACAGGAAAGTGATCAGCCTTTCCCTCCCATGCATGACCGTAGCTTCATTGCACCGCAGAATGAGGGACAGTGTATGTGGTCGCGATGAAAAGGAAACAAGCGAACAGGAACAACCAGATGAGCCATACCTCATTTTAACAACCTGGGCAACCTCAGGCCTGGGCTTCATGTACGAGTGGACTTGTGTGCTGAGGGCCGGACGGATGTGTGCGCAAAAGAGAGAAAGGAATGAGATGACAAGACATGAAGGCAGAAAAGACTATGATAGGAAAGAAGAAAAGACCGTGTGCGTCGGGGAAGGAATGAAAAAGGATGCCAATTAGGGGGGTCGAAAAAAAATGAAATCGAACTTCATTAACGGACCTAGGAGCACCTGGCCTATTTTATGTACATGCTGCGTGTGCACCTAGTGGGCCTTAAAGACTGCGGCCTGCGGCCTACTCTTGGCGTTCAGCCTGCGCTGACCTGCTTGCCAAAATGACTCTCCATAACAACCGTCAAGCCTTAATCAACGCTTGGCACAAGCCTCCCACGCTCGCTGCGACCTGCTCTCGTCCTGGGCGCAGGGACATAGACAAACCCTTCACATGGGGACACTCGTTGGGTACACCCTGGGCTGACACTAGGCCAGACACACTCGGGAAACGCGTACTGAATTGAAAGCCACTTGCCACAAGCCCACCTAGGTATAAAAGCGTAAGGAAGCCAGGGTATGTAAAGCGGTCAGAGCATGAAGATCGCCATGAACCCCAGCGATCCCAAAGTTCTTGAAAAGTGAAAACCGAGCGACGGATCATCCTGCGACAGCCTGGGGTCTTCTAAAATCAGAGTGTGGTTAGAACATTCACAAACTGCAGGTACAGGAAGGTGATCAGCCTTCCCCTCCCATCCATGACCGTAGCTTCGTTGCACACGGTGGGTCATGGATGCCGCGTGCCCCTGCTGAAAAACCAAGAGGTTCCCTTTGATTCCAAGGGTTTCACACACAGACACACATGCATTCATGCATGTTGATGACTTGGTCGTTCCATGACACAACCTCGCGATTATATAACAATGTTATTACTCTATATATATACATATATCAATGATGAAAATGCTCGTCAAAGGGCGTGAGCAAACCAACCACCACAACCACATCGACCACCAAAAAATATAGACTACGACGGTATTTCCACAACAACTGAACGACAATCAACAAACAAAAAGGAATTTGCAAAGCTAAGACCAGTAGTAAGAAGCTGGATAACAGTTGAAGCTCCAATTTCTGCCAGTTACTCAGTGTAGTGGCTGTCGAACACGTATGGCGAAAGATGGTATCTGGCGATCAGCCAAGCGGTAACTCCCATGGAGAGGCCACTCAGGCACCTGAGGCCCATCCCACCCACGTCGTAGAAAATTGTGAAAAGGGGAAAACCATGGAAGACTCATGAAGACTCTCTCTTTTGCTCAATTGATTTTTTTCATGTAGGTTGGAGGCCATCGCTGTCAGGTTGGAGGCCGTTGCTATTAGGTTGGAGGCCATGTGAAAGCTTCCTGTTGCACTCTGTGATGCCGCCAAAGCGCAGCAGCAGCCACCAGCCTAGAGCTTTCTTCCTGTGATAGATGGGCACCAGCACCTTGACCATTCAATACGCTAACAAAGGGTCGACGGTGCTGAGCAAGGACGTGAGGAACAAGGAGTTCTTGGCTAACAATATTCGTCATTCGGACCAAAGCCATATGTATAATCCAAACCGCCCCCCCCCTCCCTCTCAACCTACAAGTCTAGGAATGATTCGTGATGCGGATGATTGCTCTTCTTGCAAGGTGGCTGGTAGAGTGCAGAATTCTGCCCACTGCCCAATGCACCAAGACTTCCGAAGCACAGAAATGGACACTAAAAACCAAGCAGCACAACCCAACACGAAGAAAATCATGTCATCACCTTAGGTCATGGCTACGAGTTACCTATGATTCTGTCAGTCTCCACCTCCTTTGCTGCCAAGTTTCCAAGGTACCAAGTCCAGCCCATACACACTTTATCAGAATCAAACGGAATAAAGTTCCTCAAAGCAGACTCTTTGCATTGTACGGCCACTGGAACACAACCAAAATGGCTGTGAAAGCATGACAAGGAACATTGTGTAGGTCAGCTCTGACCACCAAGACCTTAAGCAGGATGCAAGGACATTGGAGGCTGCTGATTCTCAACCACCTGCAACGTGGCATTCAGAGTGTTTGTGTAAATTTAGGCCTGGACCCATCGCATCGACGAAAAATGGAATCCTGCAAAATCACTGCGAAAGGTCCCGATGCCAGATACGGCACTATCCCATAGTACACCAACCTAAGGGTCAAAGGCAACCACAACAAACTGTCTCGGAATGCTGTCTGTGCCTTTCCTTGATCTAAAGTCTTGCAATCGACAAGAAGCATTACAAGCGCCAAGCTTGGAGTCAAACGAAAATACCTGACTGCAGTGACTGCAGGAAATTGGTATATATATATATATATATAGTTCTCACTGAGCAGTGTTCACTTGTCATGAAGAAGCTGGCCCTTGGCACCCACAACTGTTTGGGGCACCGCAACAATACCGCAAGCACGGGGTTAGGTCCCCGGTTGCTGAGTTCTTTCAACATCAAGTGGGAGAGGAGGAATCCAGACCTTGGCGCTCAAGAGGTTGGTGGTGCGCCCATGCGGGGCCATCTGAGGTCGAAGCAAAAAGAAGAATGTGTCCACACCTCAGAATTTGCTGGGCAACGGCTCGCCCTGTTCTCTCGGCTTCCATGCCAAAACCTCTAAAAGCAGCTCGGCATGGCACTCTGTTCGGCTTGGATGATGAGCATGAGCATCGGGTTATTTTCAGCTGAGTCTTTGTTCAAAATACCTCCCACTGAGCTTGGCCAGCAAAATCAGCTTGAAAAAATCACGCAAATTCTTGGGAGCAAACTGCTGGTAATATCTTGCGGGTTGGAATAGCCAGACACGCCTGTTCAAAGCGATACAGCACCACACAAACCACAGAAAGCATCATATCATATGGCATATTCTCCAGCGTTTCCTGAAATTACGTCTACGAGCCTTCAGGCATTAAGAAAGAATGGCCCAGGATGATCCATGCCATTGCAAGAACCCGCAATCCATTGAGGGAGTCTGTCGGCTTCGGCCTCACCAGCTTCGGAATTGATCAAGCAACGAACATATATCATATATTTCCTTCGGAGCCCCGTCAGCCCCGTTCCTTGCTTCAAGCCGAGGCACGGCGGCTGTTCCACCAGTTTTGTCAGAGTGCCGTTGCGTCCAATCAGCGAAAAAGCCTACGAGATGCACATCAATACTTAGAATGCAGCACTGAATAAAAGGATGGCTCATGGTGGCATGGGGAGGGAGGCAGCACTTTCCCAAAACGTTGGTCCTTGTCAATGCTCTGCATCTGGCATTCAAGCAAAAGCAACTCCAAAACACGATGGGGAAGTGTTTCTGAAATCCTAGTTGTTGGGTGATGCTTTCGCATCTCCACTTTCAAAAGCATTTTGTATGGCATATATCGGCCTATATAGTTGCGTTGCTCGTGCCATCACAAATCGCATGTTGGCGTGCTGAAATGCATAAGTGTGAGAGCTCTTTTGGACACGAAAGGGCCTGCGTTTGGTACACATGATTTGTGCGTGTCATCCTTGTGAACTAGGAGGCTTCTTTCTCGCACTCCTCCTTGGGTGACTGAGCTTTTAGCTCGTTTCATCCACCTCTTAAAATTTCAGTGCCGCACTATCTACATATTCATAGTGCTTCTCCATCTTCTTGTAGAAGAGCAGTCGCCCTGCTGCATCACCTGCTCTGTCTGCACGTTGCCACTCTCGGTGTAGCTGTTCCATGTGTTCTTTTGCTCTCAACCCGGATCTTCCCTCTGGTAGGTCTAGATCTCCCAGGTCATCCATTCTCATTCTCTTGATCTCTTCAATCTTTTCCTCATGTTCCCTCTTTCGCTCAGCCTGCCTTGTCTCTCGGACATCATTGTCCTCTGAGTCACTCTCAGGCTCTTGTCGTTGTAGGTATTCCATGGGGATGTCAACCACCTCTCCTGAACCCAACCGAACTTGGGCTGTCTCTCCCAACTCCAGTTCTTCACCTGGTACGTCATCTGGGAACGCACCAGCAAGATCTATTGCCTCATCCTCGAAGTCTTCAATGCACTTTCTGATCAGATGATCCTTTGCTTGTGTCTTCAACCTCTGTAGATTGTAGTTCCGGTTCGACCTCTGCAGGTAGTCCCAGTGCTTCCATTCGTCATCATTCATCTCCGTCTCATCCACAAATCCATCATTCTTGATGAGACCTCGGTGAAGCTTCAGCATGTACTCGCCCAGAGTCTTCATGGCCTCTTTCTCTGAGTCCTGTCGTCGTGCCAACTCCTTCACCTCATACTCGACTGCACCAATCATCATGCCATCGGTTTTGCAATCTTCCTTCAACTCTCGAAGATCGTCTCTCACTTCTCTCAAGCTCTTCCAGAGCACATAGACCATGCCAGCTAGCATCATCACCAATACGAGCAAAATGCCCATCACCAAACTTGCCGTAGAGCTCCAATTCTTCTTGCTTTCAACCATGCACATGTCATTCTCAGTCGTGTAGTTCCCGGCCACGTGCTCAAGACCCTCCAAAAGTAGAATCCTGTTCAGCAGTTTGGCCAATCTGGTGATCTTCCCTTTGCTGACTTGTCCTTCCACAACTCGGTCACGCTCCTCCTTTCCCAAACGTTGATGGTCCTTGTTGTTGACTTTGCACCAGAACAGGATCAACTGGATCCGTGCTTTGCTCAACGGTTTCGTCCCCAGATCAGAGACGTTGTACACCGTCCCCACGGACTTCACCTTGATCTCGCCCTGGGCCACCAGATCCTGGATCCATAGCAGTTTTCCTGCAATGTGCCTCAACCGTCCTGGGCCCTTCTTGTGACATAGGTGCAGAGCTGCTGAGTTGTCCACAGGCAATGATGTGTCGCATCCTCTCCACTCAGGAACTCAAGGCACCTTCTCAAGTAAATGCCATCAGCTGCCGCACCAACCAAGGCGTTCAACTCTGCTTCTGCAGAACTGAGGCTCACTGACTTTTGCCCTCTGGAGCTCGAGAAAACCACTCCATTCACCATGTGAATTGCTGCGCTCGTTGATCTCCTGTGGCTCTTCGGTCCAGACCAGTCGCTATCGGAAAAGGTTTCCAGCAGCCATCTTGAGGTTTCACATCTGGTCACCAATCCACGGCCTGCCTCCTCCAGTTCCATGACGCTGTACTGGCCCATAGTAGACTTCAAGTAACCAATCAGTTTTGATAGTTTCTTCAAGCTTCCGGTCGTAGGACATGCCATGTTCGAAGCCAACTCTTTAACTGCGAAGCTGATGTCCATCCGCTCTTGGCTTAAGTAGATGCCGCAGCCCACCAATGACCGGTAAAGTCCTGCCAGCTCTGACCCTAGTGGAACTGTACCATCCTGTTCCAACATCTCCTGACCACAAGGGAGTTGTTGCTGCTTGACTCTACCCATCACCGCCTCATACTTCTCAACCATTTCCTCTGCATACTTTCCTGGGTGGACTCGAAGAATGGATTTGTCTTGTTCTTCTCCCAACTCATAGGTTCTTCGAAGGAACTGAATCTGGTCCTGTGACTTCTCAAGATGTTGATGGGAAATCTCAAATCTCGTGGTGATCTTGGGTAGAAACACCTCGGTCACATAGGCCTGCCTTCCCACGAACATGATGTCGTCCACATGGATTAGGATCATCATTTCTTCTCCATTCCTCCCCAAACACGGATTCTCTTTGCAAAACTCAAAGCCTTGCTTCTCCAGCCATTGTGTGCCTTGGCCCCGATTCTTTGGCCCGGGAGGTTCTTCAGTACCTCAAAGTGCCCATTTGGCGTCCTCAACTGGGTAGGTACTTCTTGGTCTACCTGTAGGAAGGCGTCCTTCACGTCTAAGCTTCCCAACCAGTATCGTTCACCACCCACCTCCTCCTCCTGCTTCTTCATGAGGTAGATGAGTGGGAGAAGCCTCAGGGCCTGTCCTCCGGATGCCGGAGAATGGACTTCATCATTCTTCTCATGCGCATACTCTCTTGCAACCATCCTTGAACGTCGCAGCCACTGCTTCCTGTCCATTCCTGGTCTTGGCTTGGCCCTCCAATCATGGACAAACCGTGTTGTCAGCGTTTTGTGTCCAGGTAGAGGTCCTGCCATTGCCTTCAGGACTCCCATCTTCTGCAGTCTTCCTTCCTCCACGGCGTCTGCGAGATCATGGAGGGTCTGGAGGTACACGATCAAGTGGTGCATCCAGCCACAACTCATCTGGCAAGGACTCCTCCTTCTCTGACTCCAGATTCCACTCGATCTTCTCCTCATCCCAGATTGCATCGTTGTGGTAGTATAGGTTCTCCCCAACCTGGGTGGCTGAGATTCTCCTCTCCATTTGATCTCCTTCTTCATGTTTACTTCGCTTGGGCTCTGGGTTCTCGACCTCAACTGGGTGAATGCTCTTCTCAACCGTGGGTTTTAACTTCTTTGGATCTGGTTCTCCACTTCCTTCACCTGCCAAATTCTTCTGGCTCGAAGGTCTCGGTGTTGACGGTGAAGACAATCTCGAATTCTCCTCATCGGTCATAGGAGCAAGTGCTTGGATTGGAATTACTTCCTGGAGTGCCTGCTCCTCCTCTGTGAAGCTCACCTTCTTGTCTTCCCGGACTTTCTTCTCCTCCTCATCTAGGGTCTCTCCGGGACAACCTCCTCCTCTTTCCTTTCTTCAATCTTTCCGGCATAGGACCTTGCAAAGGTGATGACCTCATAGGCCTCTCTGTCCTTCTCCGCTAGGGCCTCCAGATCTTCTACGGTGAGGTTAGCTGCTGGTCCTTCCACCAAAGTTGCAAGTCTCTTCGATGGGACAATGCGGCCACCAAAGTTGGTTTGGTACTCCCAACTGTATGCACTGAAGCCCTTGAAGCATCCAAGATAGTGTTTCCAGGATTGGTCAACTCTTCGAATGGATCTGCTGAGGAACACCCTGCTTCCGTCTCCAACTATCCAGCAGTCCTGGGTTTCACTCTTTCCCAGACATATCCCTAGCTTCCATCGGGGATCCGCCTTGTACCCTTGCTTGTGCTTCACATAGGCAGAAATGACCTCTCCATACCTGCAAATCTTCCCTTCATATGGTCGACCATAGGCGAGCTCATAGCTTGTAGTACCCTGAGTTGCTTGGAAGCGGTTCACGATCCATGCACTGTGGCGACAACACCAACTCCACAATGGATGTTGGGCACTGAAGCGTAGGCCTGTTTGAACTACAATCTCTTCCATGAGGCTTGCTGCAACTCCTCGAATCCTCTGCACTGCATTCTCGGCCAGGGAATTGCCTGAGGAGTCATACAATTTCGTCGTCCTCATGTGGGTTTCCAAGCCAATCGCCCTCCTTGCCTGCACCAACAACTTCAGCACACGACGCGCAGTGGGCTCATTGTCTGCATAGTATGTGACTTTCTCATGGCCGAGTGGTTGGGTGAAGGCTAACAGCTCGTGGGCGATGAGGCTTGTCTGGTTCTTCGATCGAAGCGGCAACCCCAACAAACAGCCCGTTTCTGAGCGCGCAGCAACAAGCCATAATGCTCCTCCTTCATCCGCTACGCCCATCTGGGCCTGATCTGCCTCTTCCGGTGCCCCCAGTGGTCCTATTCCTCGCTCATTCGTGTAGGAAAAGTCGAACGACACCACTGTTCCTGCTTCCCGAGACTTCCCAGTGCGCCTGTGAGGATCTGGCCGTCCACGGTGTTTGATGCAGGATGGACACCATGGAGCGTACGGGACGTGAGTGAGGGAGTGTTTCCGCTTCTCCTCCTCATTGGGCTCTTTTGCAATTGCTTGCTCTCGAGGGACTCTTCCTTGAGATGCCAATGCTTGGTTTGCCAAGTCTCTTGCTTGAAGAAGTTCCAACTGGGCTTGATGCTCCACCAATCGACTAAAGCACTTTGCTTTGCTCCCAGGCTGTCCGATTTGGTAAAAGGCGCAGGCTGCTCTCAGAGTCCTCAACGGGCTTTCCAATGTCAACTCCACTCCATTGACTTGGATCCTTGCTGGAATAGCCACTCCAACCTCTATATGCACCGCCTGGTCATCCAAGGAAACACCTCCTTGGGGGTCAGGCACTGCAATGTCTCTTCCTTCCATCTCCTCTTCACCTTCTGCCTCTGGGATCTCGTAGTCCTCCACATTGGTTTTCATCCTTTTCGATGCCTCATAGTCGAAGCCTTCCACCTCAAATCCAAGGTCTTCCGGTGCCTGTGCCACTGTCGATGGGGCAACAAAGGTCACAATCTTCGCCATGTACTGGCCTTTCAACTCCTCAATCTCACATTCCTGATCTTCCATGGCATCAATGGGCTCTGTCATCTCCACCAACTGCCATCGATCTCCCTTTTGAACCACCGTTGAGCGGCTGACTCCATCCTTCTGATTCCTCAAATCAGGGATGAACTGCGGGCTCTGAAAGGATTGCCCCCTGTGAACCTATCCACCGATCTCCATGCTTCTTCCAGCCTGTCTGCTCCTCCACGATCTTCCTCAAGTCCTCACTCAAAGTGACCTGAAGCATCCTCGCGAAGCTCCCTAGGGCCACTGTCCGGACCTGACCATGGACCACCAGGCTTTGGTTCTGGAAGCTCAACGGGATCTTAACCTCCCCATTCACCAGGTACTGCTCTTCCCCACTGGTTGACCATCCTGAGCGAAGGAGATGGCCAAAAGAGAGGATAGGTTGAGCCACCACATCACTGAATGTGACTCTCTCCTTGAGGATCACCATCCGATCATCCTCTGACTTCAGCTCGATGTCCACATCTCTGCGCCCGTAGGTTCGAATGGCCCCTTGAGCATCCTAGAGATAGGGTGACACTCCATGAGCTTTCTTTCCCTGCTTCAGCATGTAGCCTGGAAAAATAGAGGCGTCAGCTCCCGAGTCCACGATGATAGTCGCCTCGACTTTCTCTTCTTCACCTCCTTCTCCATGGACCACTTCATACCACTCATCCGGTGGCACTTCATGAACCACCTTTACACTCGGGATGTTCTCATCGTCCTCCTCGTCATCGGTGGCGATGTTGTAGAACTCCACTGCTGCCTTCTTCCTCTTAAAGCTCACCTCCTGCAGCATTCGAATTGCTCCACTGGTCTCCTCATAGCTCCTCAAATCGAAGACCACTGGCTGTGAAACTCGTCGGACAGCTTTCACTGTAACCTCACTTCCCTGCTGGACCGACGTCGTAGTGCTGGGTGACACTGTAGGTGGAGTTGAACTCGAAGGCGCATTGGATGCTGGCGCTTCGATTTGGCGTACACGCCAACAGTCCTTTGCAAGGTGACCTGGACGTCCACAAGTCCAACAAGTCTCAACCGGTCCCTTGCCTTTCCCTTTCTCCTTTCCACCTTTTCCCTTTCCATCTCCTTTGGACCCAAATGTCGTCTTTCCTCCTTTGCCCTTGGACTTGCCCTTTTCTTCTTTGCCCTTTCCTTTGCCCCCTTTTCCTTCCTTTGTCTTGCCCTTGCCTTTCTCTTTTCCCTTCTGTAGACGGTCCACCTCCATGGGAGCAGGTCCATTGGGATCATACGAAGCGGGTGGCATTGGGCTCGAACTCGAGAAGCTCAGTGCTGCTGACTCATTCCATTTGGTGTTCGCTGTATCGTAGGCTAGCACTGCTTCTCTGATCTTTCCATAGGAGCTGCCTTCGTTCAAGGTCATGTTGAGGTGCACCTTGAGGGGCCCTGAGATGGCCTTCAACAGCACCGCTGCTCTCATGTCCGGCGGCAGCTTTCCTCCCAAACGCTCATATTGGGTGAAGTGCTCCTCAAGCTTCAGCAGTTGGGGCAGGATAGATGGCTTCATGTTGAAGCTTGGATAGGCCATGATGCCTTGAAGCAAATTCATCGCTCTATTCCGGGCCTGTGGTTGGCAGTTCAGGAGCATTTGTCGTAGAGCTTCGAAGCCGTTGTAGCTGGAGACACTCTTTATCAACCCAACCAATCTTCCTTGCACCAGGCTTCCCAACAGGCTGTATAAAAACCTCGCTCTTTCTTGCTCCTTTTCGTTGAGGAACTCCCAATCCACTTCATCTCCACTCTTCTCTTCAATCTTTGCCAACTCTTCCTGATAGGCACTATCCACCACCACCAAATACTGCTTGAGACTCCAGAACCAATCGCGCCACTGGAGGATCTCCTGTTCACGATCAACAGGATGGAAACTTCCTGGACGTGGGATCAGGCGGGCTAAATTTTTTTTCACCAAACCATTCGAATCTCCTGACCCGGTTCCACCTCCCGTTGTCGTAGTCGAAACTGCTTGAGCCGCCTGAGTAGCAGCTGTCGCTGTAGCTATGAGGGCTTGGGTCAACTCCTCAACTCCGGGCAACACCCCGGTCCCATCCATCTCCCAACCAGGCCTTCAAAGGGGTCAAGGGCACTCTTGATCTTTATGATGTAGGGGCTTCTCCTGAATCTCAAGGGTCTTCTCCTTTTCCTGGGTATGGGCAAGCTGGTACTCCAAGGTGATCTCCACTCAACTCGTCCACTTAATCACAAGCTTTGATTGCGAGAGCTTGCAACACCAGTTTATGGTGGCGCAGCAATCGCGGGGAACTGGGGCGCGTGGAGGATCTGGGTCCTGTCCTCTTTCCTCAAGAGTCTCCCTGGAGCTCCGGGCAGATCTATGAAATGCCCTTCACAGCTCCGCTACCATGTGAGAGCTCTTTTGGACACGAAAGGGCCTGCGTTTGGTACACATGATTTGTGCGTGTCATCCTTGTGAACTAGGAGGTTTCTTTCTCGCAATAAGGCTTTTGGTTTCTCCACCGGCCTGGCTACGCCACAACAAGTCAAAATTGGCGCTCACTAAAGATACAGTAATTCTTGTTGACAAATATGTTGGCAAAAGCTGGTGCCCGAGATGCTGGTTGATGATCTCTCATATTTTGCATCTTTTGTTCTTGGAATGTATCCAAACTTTGTTGCTTGTTGGTCTTCTTTCCTTGTTGCTTTGTATCTTTTTTGGAGTTCTGATTCACTGCGGATGCCGTCCCACCTTGATTCCTTTGGAATGTGTTTCTGTTTTTGTTTGTCGTGCCCTTCCTGCCCCCTCGTAGCCAGTTGCTGTAAAGGCATGTTGTGCGACGTTGATTGTCAACATAGATTGCGCACAGGGCGTCCACATACACCTTCAGAACAGCACAAGAAGCCCCTCCATCACAGCACGATGGATGCCCAAAGCGTTCATCACAGCAGTCTACTATATGATTACAAAAATCACAATGGCTCTAATCGCCGTGGCATCCACAACAAAAGCAAAGTATTTCTACTTGACTTTGCGCCTTGCATGTGTTCGCTTGTTGGAAAAACCCAAGATGTGTTACCGTTTACCACTTACCACCCACAAGAGTGATTCATCTGTCCATTCCCTGCATTCTTGCAGCCCCTTGAATAGTGTACGGCTTGCCTACCCGATACTAGCCACCAAGAAGTGAGTTGCTCTTCCGTGCTATCGCAAGGCGCCACCAATCATGCCCTGTTGGGATCTACAGACACCGGGGTCGGAGACTACAAAAGGTGCACACAATGCATTCGGCAGATTGGTAACAAAGTACACGCCAAAGAGTAGTAACTACATGCTGACCTGCTACGCACATAGAAAACAGTTGTGGCAAATTGCACTGCCAGAACTAGCATTGCCAAGCAGTATGGTTTGACCAAACCCGTGCTAACTTCAGGTGATGATTCCAAATCGGCTATCAGAAATGACCCCACAAAATGTTTGCAAGTGATGGAGGTTGTTTTTAATTCACTACTGTGAGCAAAGCGATATTGCATGTTCCACATTGTGCTCATAGCAGCGAAACCCTCAAGCAACGACATGTGCCTGCAGGAAGGTCGAGTTTCTCGGCGAACCTCCACTTCGAGAATCCTCACGGCACAATACCAATCAAGTTTCATAACCACCGAAACCCTAAAGCACTGCTTGGCAAATTGCACCAGCAGTAAAATGCGGAGCCGTCCTGATGCCTCGACGCTGAGACGTGCGCAAATGCGGTGGACAAAACCGATATGAGCATCAACGAAGCTAGCACTGCCACGGAAAGCCAGCAACGAAGACTCGGAGCTGCCAAGCCATCAATTGGATCTGAAGCGTGGACATTCGCAATCGTGAGGGTTTGCAAGTCTGGGATGATTTCCAACCCAATGGTGGAATTCAAGATCAGCGGCACGTCTCCTGGTCGACACGCCTGACATTGTTTCATACAACCCAAAAATGCAAACAGCACGACGCGAAACGGGACTCAGGCAGACTCATGCAAATCCAGCACGGCCAATGACATGATGCCCTCGTGAGTTGGATGTTTGCGCCGCGTTCCAATTTTGGCCCACACTATGCTACAATGCAAATTGCATACAGTTTCAACCCGGCAAGGCTGTGAGTCTTCCCCTGGGTTGGGTTCCCGGCAATGTGTGAAACTGATGGAACAAAAAGCAACCCGGCACAACAGTTCTTGGATCAACACATCCCGCAATTAGTCAATAGTTGTTTGCAATTGTCTTGCGCGGCCTCAGGGACGCAAATTCCCAGCCCCAGTTGGAGTGCATTGCTGGGAGCCAGCGGCAAAGCTCCAGTCATTGTGGCCAGCAAATAATGAGCTCCAGGAATGCTAGTGCACATTCCAAATTTTCCTCCAGCTTTGTCAAGAAACATTGCCCAATGCCATCAAGCCCCACAACAACAAATGCCCAAACTCATTGTTGGGGGGGGATTTGCACTCAAAGTATTGGAATGTCTGTGCCTGCGTCTTTTGGCAACCCTTTGCCAGTCGCTAACGACATCTCAGCCCATATCGCTCTTGGCAAAGCACCCACCGAATCCACACAACCTCACAAATAAAAAATGCCAGGGCAATTGAATTCAAGTCCCATGATGTCACATTAAGTCCCACATCGAAACCGAAACTCAAAGCAAGTTGCACCCGGGAAACTTGGACTATCTGTCAACTTTTGGGTGCCCATGGCGGTCAGGATCAAGCACCAATCTGACCACTGTGATTCAAATACTCAACATGCAGGGGAACGCAGCCTTCCTGCAAAAGAAGGGCTGAGAAAGCTCATCTCGAGCCAAAACGATCCCATCCACCCCGATGTGCCACGCGATGCTACTACCAGTTGCTGTGTGGTCTAGTGGCAACCTGCCGGAAGTTCGGAAACACATTGCCCAAACCAAACAGATTTTCAATTTTTCTGACCACATACCGCGGGTGTGTGTGTGTGAAGATCCTCGGGCTCACAAGGAACCCGCACGCAAAGGCGCAAGTGAACACGCAAGGTCTTTTTTAATTTCTGGTTTTACACTCCCACACACACACTTAGATCCACGCTCGCAAGAGCTCTATCAGTTTGGACATTCCGGAAGCTAGGCGCTCATTACATCAGACCCTGACTCGCAGGAACCGCAAGGCGAAGGGTCAAAGCTTGAAGTTTTGAGCATCACGCAGTAGCACTTTTGGAAAACATGGAGTCACAGCTTGTTCAACAGTTGAATCGGCAAAACGGAAAAGTAGTTGCAGGCACGGTTGCACGACAGCTTGGATGGATCTTCGTTGGCCCATGCCATCCAAGTGTCCATGGGCTCTCTGCTGATCTGTACATTGTTAAAATATAAAAGTTTCCAAGGGGTGGAGACGACCAATGTGGTCATGCGCCCTTGGAACGGGAGGTGGCGCACACACACACACACACTCACTTAGCCGTATCGGCGATCCCTGATCGGATTTTGCCGCGCACTGGTCGATCACACTCCTTGGGTGGGTGCCCCTTATTGGCGTAGGACTTGGCAGGCAGGCCCACTTTGCTGATGATTCACCACACAAGATATATACTCATGGTTCATGGGGGCAGGGAAACGGAGCAGCGCTGAGAAGCTTTTGTGGAGCATCCGAAGGATAAAAAAGGTGTGTTGAGAGTTGATTCGCATAGGTGACAAGTATTTCTACTAAAGCGGGCTTTCAAGTCACGAAAGCTAGCCTTAGCTAGCTGGAGTTGCTCTTGCTTTAGCAAGTTAAGTGACGGGGTGGACGCACCTCAGAAACTTCAAATAATTGATTAAATCAATCTTATGGACCCCCCCCCCCCCCGCGGTTCGACTCCCCCCTGCGCGCGGTGAGCGGGACCACCAAGCAGCTGCAGCACACCAAGCATCTGCAGCGCCCAGCGCAGCAGCGGCAGCAGCAGCATACCCAACGCCAGCAGCCGCAGCAGACCACCCAGCAGCAGCAGCAGCAGCAGACCACCCAGCAGCAGCAGCAGCAGCAGCAGCAGCAGCAGACGACGACCCGGCGCCTGCAGAGCACCCAGCGCAGCAGCGGCAGCAGCAGCACCAGCAGCAGCAGCACCAGCAGCAGACCACCGGAAGCCCGGCTAGCTTTCGTTCACCCCCTCTGGCCTCAAGTCTATTTCGAAATTGGTTCGCCCCTAGCCACATGCGCAGCTCCACTGGAGACCGAAGACGCGCACAAACTGATAGAGCTCTTGCAAGCATGGATTTAAGTGTGTCCCACAACAGCGTCCCACTGTGGTCTGTTCTATGATCCCAGCTTTGAACGCTTTGGCCCTTAGGGGTGCTCACTTCTTTTCAAATCCTGCGCGCCTATCCACTGATCAGCCGTTTGCTATACCCGGCTGTACTGACCCGGGACTGACCCTATCTCAGCCAAAACAAGTGGATAGATTTGAAAGCTAGAGGGTCAAAATAAAGCCAAAAAAATCCCTGACCAATCCAGATAGATAATTTTTAGAAGGCGTGAGGTTGGCAAACTAGACGAATAGGATCGAGGAAACTGCTCCCCCCAAAAGTAAACGCTAATCGACGAGCGGGGCAAAAAGGAAAAAGTTCCCAGGCTCAGGTTTGTGGAAAAAACGCTCTGTATGCTCTGTGGTGGTCTGGCATCTGAGAGAACTACGGATTGTTGCGGACGTCTGCAAACCTTAGAAGGTTGGTGTTTTTTTGCAGGTTCTGTATTTCTCCTGCGTTGCATATTTTGCCTGCAGGCCGAAGACGCGTACAAAAGTTTGAGATCCCATTTCCCAAAGAGATGTTCATGGGGACAGTTGCTGTGAAGCCCGGACGTGTAGTGCGTTAATCCAGGTCATGGAGCTCGGAAAATCCAACGAGCGGAAATCTAACGAACATGCAACGAGCGATGTTCTATGTTTCTTTCCCTTTTCTACTCCCACTACCAAGTGGATAAAATTGGAGCATTAATTCTGCATTTTTTAATGCACTGACCCATTTCATCCACCCCGAAAAAGACTATCAACTCCTTACTTTGGCTGCGTTTTTGGGGGGTAAACCCCCTTGGATAGGCTGCTGGCAGGCTGGCAAACGGATAAAGTCCAGGCACTGACCCCATTAATTTTATCCACTCAGTACGCCTTCTTATCGCTTGCTCGAGATGCAGGTCATATGCCGCAGGGACACCTGATTCCAGCACAAAATGTCATACATTGTTGTCGAACCAAGCATTTTGGCCAAGCAAGTGACACCAAGCCTGTGCCCACGTTCAACATCAAATGAATGAGCATCTTCGGACAACAAACCTGAATTTTCCGCATGTTCTCGATCTGACTGCTCTTCAAGGTGCCGTGGTGCATCGCCAGCCACGCACTCCTCATTCATCATTCGTTTTTTCCGGCTCACTGTCTATCTCATCACCTGCGCCTGCTTCATGAATTTCCACATGGTGCAGGAGGTAAGATCGAACTATTTTGCTGGCCGACGAGTTGGGTGCTCTTTTACGCGCTTCTTCTCCAAAAGGTCCGCAAAAATTGTTTGCACAAAATTTGTGCGGAAGAAAAGGCAAAGTTCCTTGGTTTTTGTTGCAGCTAAGTTTCCTACTTGGCCCACCAGGACCAACCTCCCGAAATTAGCTTTGAGTGACGAAGACTGACAACATTGCAGTCAAAAAATTGCAACCAGCATGCGCACGGACAGCCCTAGCTCTCCGCTTTGAAAGAGCCACAAGCACATTGTGAGACACATTTTCCCTACGCAGCCTGGTGCCCTTCCATCTGTCCTCGCTCTGTTCTCGTGGATCAGCCATACCCCATTGCCACTGTCCGTGGGCGGGGCAGCGTGCGGCACCGGTTTCGGGGGCTGCGCAGCGGCCCTCCAGCATGACTTCGCGGACCTTGAGGGCGCTGCGTGGGAGCAGACCTTGAGGGCGGGAGCTTTTGGACACTGCCGACGGCCCAGCCGGGCAAGGCAGTGGAGTGCACGAGGTTCTGCGAGCGGCGCTCTTCGCCACACACCGCATGGGTTTCCGTCCGGCTGGGCGGGCTTGTGGCGGCAACCAGCGCAAAAAGGAAAAAACCCGCCTTCTCCTGTGCTCTTCCTCTTCTCCCTTTGAGCCACCACACTCCAAGATTTGCTCGGACCAAGCGTCGCCAGCTCCGCTGGCCATGCAAACCAGCAGCAAAAGTTTGACTTGACCAGCCAGACTCTGATGTGCTTCTAGGCCCCTTGGATAGCAGTGGTGTATGACGTTCCATGATTTATTTGTGTTGTTTCGTTGTTTTTTTTTGTTTTTGTTTTCTCTCTCTCTCTATCTCTCTCTATCTACCTACCTACCTACCTACCTAGCTACCTAGCTACCTAGCTACCTAGCTACCTAGCTACCTAGCTATCTAGCTATCTAGCTATCTAGCTATCTATCTCGCTCTCTCTCTCTCTCTCTATCTGTGGGTCGGGTTTATATTGAGTTCCCGCTGCTTCAGCGAGGAGGCCTTGCTAATGACTGAGATTCTGAAAACACATCTAGGTGATTACAACAAATATATAATCTGACATTTGCGGACAACACTAGAAACATGTCATATCCTCCTTCAAAGGCGCTCCTTTTCTAACAGGATGCGTATCGCGGGCACGGCACGGCCTGTCAAGAGTTTCAGTCGCTGACAGCCTCAAGACACAGGCGTTGCAGGAGGCTGTTTGGGACAGGAACGGGGACATGCGCGTCGCAGGATTGTTGGATGATTATTGGGGACACCAGTCTGTTCTGTGAACTTCAAAGGCCAAACTGCCAGGCACGGAACGGAAGCTGAACCTGCAGGCTCGCCGCAAAAGGTTTCAAGGCAGAATGGGCCACCCGAGAGGAGGAGCATCAACGTCCGAACTTCACAGTGGCCGGCTTTGCTTACGCGCAGTTTGGTCTGTCGAGGCCGTCTCAAGGAATGGCTTCCAAAGCGACGAAATGGCACCTTGCAGCGCGGACAAACAGTAGGTCCGTTGCTTAGTATGGCAGCGAAAAAAAACACGGCATCAACAGGAACGCTCAACAAGCGGATGCCTGAGGTCGAGGGTGCTGAGCGGCGTTGGTGCATGGCTGTGGAGAAAAAACAACACACAAACCGTCACAAACCCCGCTTACTTGCAACGGCGCCCGGAACACTAGTGTTGAGGGGAGTTGGGATTCAATGTGAGGAGGCAAGCGCTAAAGCCTTGTGAGGCCAGTGCATGGCAGTGCAAGCACAAACTTGATTGTTCCATTCATGAAGAACAAAGCACGCGATTGAGACTCGACCAACTTGTCTCACTTGGTGGCCTGACACTGGCGCACTTTACAAAAAGGGTCCAGCTTTGACAATGGCCTCCTGCAAACCAAGCCGCTGATGAAATATCTCAAAAAAATCATGCAAAAAAACATCAGACCACAAATGGTCTCCAGAACATTTGTGCCAGGAGTAAATTTCAACAAGCCTTTTGTATGGCGTAAAACATAAATGAAACAATGTGATTTTAGGCGATAAAATGAAATTGCCTTTCATTGAACCGTGTCTTGGTCCTTTTAGACTGGAACCGTTACTGGGGTTCTCGTGTTCGCCTTGTTCTAAACTGGTTCGGGTGACGCTGCAACATCACACAGGTGAAACACATGTATTTTTTCGACCATCCCCACGTTTTTTTTGAGATAGCCGGAATGCAACGGCCCTTTCTTTCAACCTGGACTCCATGAATGCGACGATTGTTGCTGGCGGATGGCGGGCATTTTGCACTTGGCCAGCATCGTTCGAAAAGTTGCAACCTGTCACCCTCTAAACTTGATTGACAAGTTCGATAAAGA